ATTGCACAACATGAAAGGGAACTGATGACTGACGAGTCTTGGCTTCATCGACCGAGAGCTGGCCACACTGGCTGGCGGCACGGCGCTCGAGACCGTTGGACTCAGCATCGACAGGATACCTGCCGTAGAGAGAACCATCGCGCTTGAAAGCGAGGTAGTGTCCGCGGGCTTCATCGACAGCGATATGGGTAATGTCCCTAGGAAGGACCCCAACGAGCTCGCTGAAAGGCAAAGCAGTGACGCCAGAAAGGGCAGTCAAAAGAGTAATAAACTAGAATCGGTGCGTTTTAGGACAGGTAAAAATATAGGATGAGTCGGCACTCACGGCGGCAGGCGTGAACATCGTGCAGTGAAGTGCAAAGGAAAGTAAGAAGGAGTGAAAAGAAAACGAAGGTTGATGATTCTCTAGACCGCATATCAACCTGCTTTTATACGTGAAGTGCGATGTTTCATGTCTTTATCACTGGTTTCATGACCTGAGCTAGGTAAGGAGAGGACTTTCGAATTGCACACCGGGCATGTGCTACGCGCGCGCTGAGACGTGATGCGACCTTTTCTGATCGGCAAGAATGACGAGGGAAAGCTGCAATAAAAACTCACCACATTGACCGGAGATCAGGAAATGGAACAAGGAATATTAGCTTCAGCAGCATTGCAGTTGGAAACTTGCAACGAATATCGCCTTTGGCGCGAGAAGCTCACTGATAATCTTCAGGATGCAATTCATACTGTATACGGCCCACGGTTACCAAATGGTTACAGTTTCCATGCGGCGCGACGATTGTCACCCCAGATCAACAACTTGCCGATCTGAAGGAGTCCTATCTCGTGTCGCGAATAGCCACTTATATCGTATTGCCGATCGTGGACGCTCCACAGCGGGACAAAATAGCCCGAAGATCAAGCGCGACATTTCAAAGGAGAGCAACGTTCCTACGAATACAGATAAGGAAGCGATGGAAGTGTCTAATGACAGACATACGAGCGTTAGGCGTGTAGGAACCATGGCTCAGCCAAATACTGCTTATAGATACTTCAGACATGGTCGGATTCTGGGATAGGCTGTCAGTCGATACTAGAAGACTTTCGACAAACAGTCTGGAACGCACGTTCTCCCAATTTCGAACTCGAATTTGAACGTTTCAGCAGAGAGCGGCGGTCAAATCTCAGTGGGAACCTTCTGGGTGATATACGTGAAGGCTTGGCGTTCCTCCAAATCAAAAGTCAAATTGACTATGCAGTGCTCGTAGGAATCATCAATGAATTACTGTCCAGACGAAACGAATTGAGGGTACGTCATTACTGTTTCATGAACGTTTACGCACCATCATGTTTATACTGGTGTTGCCGCCGATCGGGGCCAAAAGGGATAAGCAGGTTGAGTAACAGAGGACCTCAGAAACTTATAGACTGCTGTATTGTGCGAGCGTAAACAACCACTTTACATAGTATCCAGACTTTCGGATGCACCAGGCCAAAGACAGTACTACCGGTAAAATCCGTGCAAACCAAACAAAAGCCTGAAAACTTTTGGGATGGAGCATCTTTGTTCTATTCCGAGAACCGAGAAGACATGAATCTGTACGGGGTCGCAAAAGAGGAGTGCTGTACCATAATAACTGGGAAGGCGTCAAGATGAAAATTTAAAGAGCAGGAAAAGCGTTCACACCCATAGGAACATAATTTATCCAATGTTTCGATTATCACCGAGAGATTGTTCTGGAACCAGTGGTGCGTTGAAAAGGCTTTCTACTGAGGAAAGCGACACGGAAAACCATTTTATGCATACTATAATTAAGTAGTGTCATGGGGCTGCAGGTTGCAGACATTCGAGACCGAATTGAGTGCGAACTTGTGATCAATATTGAATAGAAAGAAATGTAGGGACACCTAGAATTCTTCAGCAAGGCATTTTCCAAGATTAGACTAGCCTGGATATTTCCTGCCGGAGACGCATAATTCAAGGATTTCAGCTCTTCTGGGATATTGTGCGCGGGAGAGATTTTGAGAAATTGCCTCATGTGCACACTGTTGAGGCAAAGGCGTAATAATATTCACACGCCACAGACGTGTGCGGCCATCGTGACGATTTGTCAAGTGTGACGGTGTGCTCTCAGTTCACGACTACCACCTCGACTTTTATTGCCTTCTATCAGCTGGTTTTACAGCCCACATGATGCCGGAAACTCTACCTAAAAAATGCCTGTCAACAAGTACGATACTATATCATCAGATTCTGGGCGTCATTTCGGCTCGGTTACTCATCAAGCCGGGCAATACTTAAATTTGACACAGCCAAACGTTGACAGCGTTCTCTTTCCAATTTCTTCCATCATGCAGAACGCTATCGATATGGCCAATGCGCGCGAGCGTTCTACTATCAATGTTGCAGCAGTGAGGGACATGTTGTATAGTAAGTAACCTTCGTTCAGTATTCTGCCTTGGATGCTGATATACGATGTAGATGGCCATGCGCGCTGGGAGCAAAAGCAGAGGATTGAAAAGATCCTTTCCAGTGACCCCGCCTTTGACAAAATGAAAAGGTAGGCTTTGCGTAACAATCTTGTTCTCTACTGAGACGAAATAGACCTTTTATTACCCGAACGGAAGCGTACAGTCGTGGTCAGCGCCTCACAAATCGCATATATCAGCTCGAGCAGGACTTAGGATGGACGAAAGATGATACCACCGTCGCTTTCTCAGTACTAGATGACCGCCTTCCTTCAGGTCTACACAGCGATGGTACGTCGATGCCTCCTTCGCGATTTCTCCCATATCAATCTATGCATTTCTAGCATTTGAACCCGTCATTATTGGCCAAGGATCTCCCGTCCTTTTAGAAAAGTACGCAAAACTGGTTGCCACACGTGGCATCCTCGGGTGTTACCTGCAAACAGAACTCGGCCACGGTTCCAACGTCGCTCAATTGGAAACGACTGCAACTTTTGTTCCGGAGACGCAAGAGTTCGAGATTCATTCGCCTACTCTTACGAGTACGAAGTGGTGGATCGGGGCACTTGGGAAAACTGCCACTCATGGAGTATTACAAGCGAAGTTGATCCTACCCGGGGGAAAGGATATGGGGCCCCATCTCTTTTTGGTGCAACTTCGGTCCTTGGGTTCGTGTATCATATCGGTTTCTTCTATACATGTTGCTCATCTGGCTCAATAGAAGACCATAAGCTTCTTCCTGGCATCATTGCAGGCGATATAGGTATTTTTTCTTTAGAGATTTATATAGTGTTCGTGCTTTTACATTTTATAATTTTTCAATAGGCCCGAAGGCAATGAACGGATACAATTCTGTTGACAATGGATATGCCCGATTTGACCACTACCGAATACCGAAGGAAAATATGCTCTCCAAGTTTGCTCAGGTGACTGAAGACGGTATTTATGTTAAACCGCCTCATGCGAAACTAAGCTACGGTGGGGTAAGGATCGCCTATTATTAATATTGCTCTGGAACTGAGATGACATTGTTAGATGATGTACATACGCTCCGGGTACGGTTTGGCTTTAGATTTTAGTGTTAGCCTGACCTTTGTTCGTAGAATGATATCTCATTCAGGTTCTGCGGTAGCTCGAGGTGCGCCTGATATGGAGGGCTTCTAGGCTTTAATTGATATCAGAATAGCTATTACCATCGCCGTACGGTATACTACCGTTCGCCGACAAGGGGACAAGGGGGCTGATGGCCTCGAGCGTCAAGTCATCACGTATTCGTCTGTGTATGGTCGACTACTACCTATTCTTTCACGTGCACACGTATACGTTCTCTTGGGCCGAAACATTGTACGCCGTGGCTTGGGTTACCAGAACGGTTGCTAATTCACCTATAGTTGAAGTCATTCAACGCCTTCTCGCGGCAGCTAGCGTCTGGAGACATGACTATGTTACCAGAAATGCACGCTATCACGAGCGGACTCAAAGTCCTCTGCACGGCGACGACTATGGACGACATTGAATCGGCGAGACGGTCGATGGGAGGACACGGGTACAGTGCCTTTGCAGGAGTAGGCAAGCTCTATGCGGATTACCTGCCCAGTGTGACGTAGGCTCCTCTTTTCTGTTGGGGAGTACGGTGTCGCTGATGCATCGACAGGTTTGAAGGAGAGAACTTTGTTCTAGACAAACAGGTCCTACGAGCTGCGCTCAAATCCTCGAAGAGCAATGCTTCATCGCTTTCACCCTTTTCGCGGTATCTTCGCCTTCTCCATGGAGAGCAGCAACTTCCCGTTGCTTCATGGCGGGACCCAGCTGAAGTCGTGCTGCTACTCGAATGGCGTGCTGCTTCCCTGGTGAGGGATGCGGCGGAGACTGATAATGACTCGGACACCAGCATCACGCAACGAGTTTCGAAGGCCGTTGCCGAATCATTTGTAGCGACCCAGGTAATGGAGATGATCAGCGCTGCGGAGAACTCGCTGGAAGTTCAGGATGCCTTGGTGCTGAAAGGACTCTTCGTGCTTGTAAGCAAGGCTTCCATCTTCTACTGGATGAGATTGACAGGACTTTCTGCAGTACCTCCTATCTACAGTCGAAGGATCTTTGACAGATTTCTTGACTTTTGACCTTATCAAGGGCAGCCAGGCAAAGAGCCTGCGAAGGGCAATTGCGAAGCTCTGTCAAGAGTTACTCCCGAATGCGATTGGGCTTACAGATGCGTTTGGCTTCTCAGATTGGGAGCTCGACAGGTTTGCGTTCAATTTTATCTGGACGACGATGATTAGGACTGATAGTGACTTATGCAGCGCCTTGGGTGTATACGATGGAAGAGTGTATGAGGCGCTTTGGGCCCGGGTGCAGACGGAGCCTTTGAATCTGACAGAAGTACCTGAGGCATACGAGGTTGGTGGTCTACGATTCTTTCTTGAGTTTTCTTTTGATTTAATGGTTTGGAAGGACTCCATCAAACACATACTTGAGAGGGGAATGCGGTTAGCGAAACTGTGACGCATACTTGTAACGATACTACTATGAATGGGTCCTCGCTTCAGGGGCACATGGTGTAGTTGGTTTATCACGCCCGCTTAGCATCTTGGTAGTGTTCTTACGTGCGGGAGGTGTTGGGTTCAATTCCCAATGTGTCCATTTATTTCTGCTTTTCTTTTATACGATATCATTCGACGTCATCAGTTCAAAGTTGCAGAGGCTCCCAGTGGGCCGGCTCAGAGTTGTGCTACCTCCCACGGATAAATGCGTCCACCCCCAACTGCTTTGCCATGAAGAAGTAAATCATCGATGGTATCGACGACACGGGCTATCACTATATTGCTGTATCTGAGGAGGTCGATGATCGAGGGAAAAGCAAGGAAATATTCCGTAGCAGAGTGTATGTTCTATCTGGCCTTATTAGGCCTTAAACAAAGACTCGATGTTTTCTCTGAACGTCTTTGATATTCCGTACATACATTTACTTACCTAAAAGTACCAGGAACACACAAGATGTTTCAAACAAAGTTGTACTACTAAAAATTTCTTCCAAGCTTTCACTGGTACATACATATCGCTCTAGCCATGAATCATTGTCCATCTTTTGACCTATCAGCTTTACCTCGTGTGAAATCCGAGTCTCTTACTTAGTAACGCTTAGTGTTCGTCAATATCATTTCTACCTTGAATTTCTTCATCGATTAAAAAACTTGACTATATTTCAAACACGTAGCGAAGTACGAGTCGCTACACTACTCGTATTCGTAAGTGTGTGTATTACTAGTGTGCAATATTGTGCGTCGAAGGATAAATAACGTCCATCAACGTCGGATAGATAACTAAACAGAAACAGACAGAAATGGCGGTCGAATGGCGGCGTTCAGCTTGAGCTGCATGATCACCAGTTGAGACGTTAAATTTAAGCGCAGTTGCCGGCATAGCTGGTTTCGGTGTTGGATACCATAGAGCCCTTGAATGTGGCAAAGCTGGAGCGGTCATCCTGGTTCGTGACGACAGATTCAATGTTGACGGCCCCTGGAAGCAAAGGTAGGTCAGATCAAACAGATTAAGGGGAAATATTACGAACATTTGTAGTGACCCTCTGTCTTATCGTCGTAGTTGAACCAAATCCAGCCTGTAGCGAGATAGCGGATTTTTCCAGTCGCTTGAATATTGCAGGTCTTGGTACTAGTCTGAGATGACAGTCAATCAACTGGAAATCGCAAGCCACAAAAAGCTAACCGTAGCGGTACAAGTCTTGCCCTCTGGAGCAGTAATTTTTAAAGTGACTTTGCTCACGTCGTTGTAAGAGACGTCGAAGCTAATGTCTTGTCTAAGCATACGCTCTGCAACTCGAAAAAAGTACAACATACGTGCTTGAAGTGGTATCTGTAACCTCGGTAGAGATAGTCAACGCCTCCGTGACCTCGGCTACCTCTGGAATGCCCACTTTGACCGTCAGAGTGTTAGAGACTCCGATCGTCGATGCCGCTAGATATTAGACAGTGGATTAACAAAAGAGATACTTGGGGAGATATCCGAAGACATACAGCTAACGGTGTAAGAGGTATCGGTGTTAAAGCCTTGGTCCACTTCGATATCAACTTCGCCGGACGTGCCAACCAGGGTGCCTTCTGAGGAGGTTGTGTGTGTCTGGCAAACCGGGTCACCTGTTTTCGTATTGAAACGAATTCGTAAGCATCATAATTGTGAACGAACCGGAGAAGCTGAGTTGGACGACATCGTCAGTGATACAGACTTGTGCAGGACGATCAACATACTAAACGAAAAGAAGATTAGATCATCGATTTCATGAGCAGAAATTCAATCTCTTACATCTTCGGGGTTCGTAACAATGTTGCGGGAGCCATCGCCCCAGTTGTCATTAGCGTATTTCTCGATAGCGTCCCATCCAGATACTGGTCATGGATCGCTTAGCATCGGATAGATGAAATGAAGAAAATAAGTTACTAGTTTTGGCTTCGTCGACGGAAAGCTGGGCACATTGGCTAGCAGCACGACGATCGACGTTGTTCGACGGCGAATCTACGGGATATCTCCCATATAGAGAGCCGTCACGCTTGAAGGCGAGGTAGTGGCCTCTTGCCTCGTCGACCGCAATGTGGGCGATATCTCTAGGAAGGGACCGGACGATCTCGCTGAAAGGCAAGGCAGTGGCGCCAGAGAGGGCGGTCAAACACACAATCCACTAGAAATGTATCAGCAGAGCTGGAAATAAATGACAAGCTGGTACTGACAGAAGCGATACCGAACATTGTTTAAGGAAACGGAAAGGATAATAGACAGAAACGAGGGAAATTTCGCTCAGTCAAAGGAAGCGAGAATCGAAAAGAGGGAGTGAAAGAGGGTTGATAATTCTCTCTAACATGACTTGACATGCTTTTATACAAGATGCTACGTTCCATAATATCAACAATGGTTACATCCTAGCAAATTACTCACTAGGCCATGTGTTTCGGATCAGCGTGCGCATCTATACAGTGCATGGAGTTTGGATTGTCAGGATACGTTTCTGATTGCCATCGTGCTCAAATCGGTTTCCTGAGAAGGAATACTGCACCGCCCGTCGCGTGGATTCACGATGCGCTGTACGAAAATCATCCGCGGACGTAGTCTCGAGCGCCCAGCGCGGTAACGGCCGCCACCATTACATCACAACAATGTTCCAGCCGCCAGCGACGCATGCATGAGAAAGTCAAACCATCCGAAGTCTCTTATTATGGACACACAATAAAGGGCTCAACGTCAAAGAGGGAAAAGGTCCTCCAACAGGAAATTGCATCTTTGCCCGGGGTAGTAAGAGCCTAAGAAGTGTCTTCAAATTATGAAGAGGCACCTGGAAAATAGGTACGTTTTCGTCAAACGCGAATCAGCTTGTAGCCAGGCTTGGGCTGCTTGGCATTGTTACAGCAGAATCAAGGGGGGTTGGATTACACAGAATATCATGGTATCAATGATTGAGCCTGTCTCGCCGAAACAAGTTTGAACAGATTCACAGTCAGTACAGCGTGCACCACATGCATTTCACGGAATGTAGCGCACCTTCCCAATCGTACTTGCCGACTTCGCGATTGTTCGTTGGAGATTGAAGCACTCCGCTTCTCCCAACGTTTGCAAATGGTTAAGGGGAAGAATCGCCGGTGCCGGCAAGTTAGCCGATTTCTCACGCCACAGGCGCGTTAAAAGAACGCGAAACAGTATTTCCATGTATGTGCTCTATTTTCACTTACTTTATTTCCCTGATTTGCCTTTCGTTGACCTTGAAGATGCCAGATTTAAAGCAACTTGAAGAGGACATCATTATTCGGTTCTAGGACCACGGGTCAACGGTCAATTCGTAGCAACTGACCAGGATGCGGCTGGCCCCTACGATCGAGGACCACTTTGCTATTCATTTTAGCCCCGTCAGGCCAACGAACTAGGAAACTGCCAGGATTGCTTGCAGTAGTTCAAATACTCCCACCGCCGCCTACCATAATGCTGGCGAGATGATTATTATGAATAGTGTACGGTAGTGCTAGTGTAAAGATGTGCGTCCATGGTAAACATACAACCTCCCAAGTCCAAGTATGTACAACCCAATGAATCAAATAGCCCATCAGAGCATCGTTCCCATGAAGATCCCCAGCAGTAGCATGAGGCCCATCCCAGTCCTCCCCACCTTCCACCTTTCAGCCCCGTTCTTCTTCGCCGACCCTTTACTTGTGCTCCCATACGCCCCCATTGCCCCCCAATGATGCCCATTACTTGTCGCCAAAACACCTCCAGCCACCGTCGCTGTATTTACCGTCCTCGTCTGCACCGACGTCGGGAACGTCTGTGTCTCCACGTCCACCACCGCATCACTGCCAAGAAATACCAAAGCGAAGCCCGGAGCAGGTACACTGACTTGACACGACCCGTCACAAGGAATGGTATATACTTCCTCGTCATCCATTAACCGCCCATCAGAAGCAAAGTGGTCCCCAAATGTCTGCCCAGCCCATTTGAAGGAGCCTTTCTGGGATACAGAGTCCGCGCTGAGATATCTATCGCCGTTATCATTAGACTGGAACTCGTCCGGAAGACTTGCGGGTAACTCACTTGACTCGAACCTGCTGTACACCATCGCCGGCATATATCGATGCTGTATAGTTGCTGGCCCCAGAAGGATCCGTGATGTAGTTAAACAGGGCCACGCGAACGGGATTACCGTTCTCGTATATGGCATACGCAGGAGTATAGATGCTCCCGTTGTTGGCGTTGAGGTCTGTAATCTGTGAACCACTCTCTGAAGATCCGAGCGCTTCAGCCATAACTAAGGCTGAGTAGTATATGGGTCCGATTGTCCACTGGCGGAAGGTTGATTGATTCGTCGGGGGTGCTGTACGAAGTATCAGTACCAGTATCCTCAAGTGACAATTGTGTACAGTAACGTACGTGTAAAAGGCTGTTTGAATAGATCAACACCAGCATCGCCAAGAGGTGTCAAGAAGAACATACATTATAATAGACACCCTGCCCTCCCACATGCATCAGCGCACCCGAAAAATTCGAATACGCCAACTGCATCGCATAATCCAGCCCCCACAGCGCTGCACCGAATGAGTCACTAACTCCCGGGAACCCACCACATGACGCCGTGTTGGTCTCGAACATCACCAAGGGTTTCCCCTTGCTCTGCGCGTAGCTGGTCGAATTCAAGTACAACTTCGCAAGGGCCTGTCCGGCCGTATGGTTCAGATATCGCGGGAACATGGCTTGCGGGTCGCGAACATCCCCATATTCAGAGCCGTATTGGGCTGCACAATTGTCTGAGGGATAGCTAAAATTAGGAAAACGTTGAGCTGGTAAAAGGAATAAGAAAGAAAACATACTGTTCTACGGAAAGGTATGCGAGATTTTCACTGTATGTGTCAACGAAGCCCGTATCCCACACCATCTCTGGCGTCCAATCGCCTGTTGCGACACTCGGGCCGATAAGATTATTCAGGGTCTTGATGCTAGCATCATTGCTCATGGCGGAGATGAGCTCGCCAACCTCTGACATATAGTCTGACGGTTGGTATCCCTGCGAGCAATGTAAGGGGACAGGATTATCAAGAAACGATATTAACGTACTTCGGGGCGATGCCCGTGGCGCTGGTAAAGATCGGGTT